TCGCTCCTGTCTGAATGCGGGTTTGATAATATATATCTTTAATTATTGATATACAAAAAAAGCGACGAAACGCTCATTAAAAAGTGCCAAACATTATTGAAAATACAATAATTCTATCAAAATAACATACAGGGTGGTCGATTTAACGTCAGACAAACGTTTTCTTGAAAATGACTTAAGTTTTTGAGACTCTTGAGCCGGATAAATTCTGAAGCTCAATTATTAAATAATTTACTACCTAATTATTACTTACTGTCCATCACAATAGATACATGTAGTTATCGAATTGAAGTCAATTCGATAACTACATAACTACATACATTCGATAACTTAAGTAAGTTTAAATTAGTTTAAAAAAACCTAACCTTGTTCATATTATTACCCACGTGCAGATTTCAACAAAATTGGGCAATTTTTTTGTCAATATTTATTAGTTTATTTTCGTCTAGACAAAGTTGTGTCTAGTCTGATTGAAATTAAAATCCAAATTTTATACATTATCTGTCACTAGCATTTTACACCGCTTTATAATAGAAATCCAGCAGAAAATAATACACTTATAGACAACTTGGATCAAGATGCTGTGATCAAAAAACAATACACCTCCACAAGTTTGCGGTTATAATTTATTAAAAATGTGACATGATATATTGCGTTAAATTTTTCGAATTTTTACTTGTTCCAAAATTGAAATTTAACCACAAATAATTTTTTTTAATCCAGAGAACTGCATTGTCCTTATCTACTATCTAGCGAAACCACAGCTAAGACAGCCTCCAGTGAATGTGGCTCCATAACATCTTCGTCTTATAGACTCATATAAAACCTCTAATATGTGTAACTGATATTTAATAAAATATATATTATATTATTATTGGCAAATAACATCGTGATCAATTTTGTATAATATATTCTATATTTATTCGGTTGAGTGCCATCATTTCTTATAGGACAAGCCTAAGACATTTTTCTTGTCTTTGCCTTCCATTGTGATTTGTGATGTTCAAATATACGACACTTAGTTTAGTTTGTTTTGATTTATTTAAATACATGTTTTAATAAGACAAAAATGTTTTAAGTTGCACACAATGAATTAAGTAATAAGAGGCCAGACTTTGGTAAGTTCTAAACCACTTCTATAAAACATACAATGCATGCTAAATATTAATAATATAAATAATATGAATCTTTTCAGTTGAATAGCAATACGATTATTGTTAACCCGACCTACTTTTTATCAATACAACGAATATTATTTCTCTAAATAATTATCAAATAACCCAAACAAATAATAATATAGGTAAACAAAAGTGATGGTGTGATAATGTTTATAATAAATGACTGTATATTCACTTACAAAGAAGTTATACTTACTAAAGCGAACTGTATAATAACAAACATCAGAATAAATTAACATAATTACAGTGTAATACCAATGTATAGATCTCCAAAAGGTAATGGTAACATATTTTTAGAGCAACTACAAGTAATACAAATTAATAATCTTAACGTAGAAGTGAGTTTGGACACAGGTGTGGAGATAAGTATATTACCGTATAATATGTATGAACAATTTAATCCAAAACCTGTAATAAACAAATGTGATATTAAAAAAGAAACGTTCGGAGACTTTTTAATAAAACCATATTCGGGTACAGTAATTAGGTACGGGTTTTATCGCTTTTTCTACAACAAAGTTAACCATTTCTCCAATTAATGAACTTAAAATTCACTCGTGTAGCGATGATAATTCGGGAAATAGTTGAAGCAGCGAAGGCAATATTTTTTGTGTTTTTTTTTAATTCAAAAGCTCAAAACCACATCTGAATACATAATGTGTAGCGAACCCGGTGGACGCGTATCGAAAATACGTCTATCATCGTTGTTGTTCATCGCGTGGGTACAGTATTTTCGACGTTTGTACGTACCGTTTTGGTCTAGCCTGTGTACTTCGAGACCGTTGCAATCGTCGTGTATTTGTAAAACATGAAAGCCGGACGTGATATTTTTTTAATTTTTTTAACGATTTCCACGGCCGCTATAGCAGCAGCAGCAGCAGTGCCGGTATCGCCGTATCAAGTAAACGCTTTGAATTATGTATTCAATTTACCCGGTTGGAGGAATTTACCGCAACATAGACGTTTCAAGCTAGTCGTGCCGTGGATGAGAGGAAGAACCCGCCGCATTTTGACCGTCAAAGATATACTAGAAACCGACCGCAATGGCGGCCACCCACTAGTCACCGTCAGAAACGCGGGTAATAAAATCCGTCTAGCACATCAGCTTTTCAGCTGTCAGTACGCCAGCACTCTGAAGACGTGTTACCGTTACAACATGGCCGCAGTGCTCGAGTGTAAGGACATCGGAGATCCCGCCACGACCGCGGTATGCGTAACGCGGTTTAGGCAAATGATCAGCGAAATCGACCGGCTCGTGGTGCGCGTTCTGGCCACGCTTTCGTGTATCACCCAAGTGTTCCCAATAACACCGTACGACGAGTATGTGACAGAAACGTTGGAAGATTTCAAGAGGTTCTACAGCACCTTGTTTTTCGATAACGATTCCGGCGACAAAATTTACCACGACTCGATAATCAGTGCTACCGAAAATAATATGAACACCGCCTTGCGACGCTTGGGTAGGTTCTATGATGATTTTTGCAGACCGAATGAAAACCATAAAATTAACGGAATTAGGCTATATATCCGGGGTATGCATGGAATATTTGAGCCCCTCGACGTAATGCGACAAATTAAAGATCTGATAGATTTTAATGTCAACTCGAGCTTAAGTGAACTCTGGGACTCTGTTGGCTTCGAGTACGATGCGGTAAATGATAAAACCCGTGTTACGTACGTACCGTAACGAATTCCAAAAAAAATTAATCAAATCCATAATATAAAACGAATTATCTGTCTAAGAATAATTGAAAAACCAGCCGACATACAACTCGAAACACCTCATCCACAGCCGCAACAGTTATTCGCGTAATAAAATATTCAAATTGTGAAATACACATTTTATAAAATTACAAAATCTGTACAGCTATTAAATCTCGTTTTATAATTATTAACTGAATATTATAGTTTAAATATACGTTTAAAAAAAAAACCCACAAATTTCTAGTTATTTATGATAGAATATTATTTCGTATTGGTCAATTTTGATTTGTTTAGTATAAAGATTGTTCCAGCATAAAGCAAGCACAGTAAGAAAGTATTATACGTAAGTGAGTAGTTGTAATGAGTATGGTATAGTAAGTATAAAGTATGGTTTTGGTAAGTTTAGAAATAAAATAATAAACATCAATAATAACAATTATTGAGAAAATTGTACACGTCACAGTTCAATTCTAGATCTAACTTTTGTCTAAAAAGTTATGAAGCGCTGTAAATCTAAGTTGAAAAACATGTAATTTTTTTGGGGGTTTTTCTCGAATTTGAAGGGGAAGGGTTGACTTTTTAAAATGTATAGCCTTTCAGTTGCGATTTCTGGTTTTTAGAGTTGCTACACGAAGAAATCGGTTCAGCGGTTTAAAAAATATTTCGGTTCCAGACCAAAAAAAAAAATCAAAACACAAAATGAGAATGTATATTTATGGCTGAAAAAAATATTATAAAATTACAAAATCTGTACAGCTATTAAATCTCATTTTATAATTATCAACTGAATATTATAATTCAAATATACGTTTAAAAAAAAACCCACAAATTTCTAGTTATTTATGATAGAATATTATTTCGTATTGGTCAATTTTTTCGATTTGTCAACTATAACTTGAGCCGTACATTAAGTAACACAATATTTTAGTTAGTGGACAGCAAGTATTGTTTTACTTGTGGCATCAATAAAAAAAGTCAAGCTAAGGTATCCTTATAAATAGTTGTTATGCAAACGCCAACCTCAGAGGTTGTGTAAGAGGCGTTTGTGATGTGCCAAAATATTAACAACAAATTAAGTGATTTTGGTAAACTAGCATCATACAGAGCAGATAAATCGGTTGTGTTGGACAGGTAGGTTAATTGGTAGGTAATTGGCTATCAAACAACATGTGAAACTGGCATTTTAATCCATCAAAATAAGTTAAATTAATTTTACAACGATATTTCTTTTTCTCTTTGAGTTTGGAGCAATAATAGTTATTTAACTATTGGACTGACTAATATAGCTAGTTCAGTTACAAATAGGTGTACATTTTTTTTAGATAGTACTATCAATATACATTAAAAACCAAAAAATTAACATTAACTCATTCTTCTATAAGGAGTAAAAACTTGTTATATTTATTATGATTCAGGAGTATTTTTAAGACTTAAGGTCGGTTTTAATGACCACTACCTATATTTTTAATTAACCAGCAAAAAACATTACAGATTAAACGTGTATAAAGGATATTTATTACATATTTATACTGTGAACTGAACAGTTTTAATCAGTTTTGATTTTATTTTACTAAATTTGTTTTTATAATTTCATAGTATATTATATTTACATTTTTATAAAATGTCAATATTAAATGTTTTCAATCTCGCATCATTAAGACAAATTATGTGATCATAGTCGCTTAATATATTTGATGTGTTAATCACTTGCCATGTGTTTTTTTTTCAGCAATATATCTCTCACAAAAGACTACCACAGGTCTTTTCTCATTTTTTGTGGACCGCCAGTTGATATTTTTTCCCACAACAAATAAATCGTTTTCAATAGTAACGGCATCTGCATTTTAAAATAAAGTGTTATAAATCTATTAATGTTGTCACCATTTACACTGATGATTTAACCAACTGCTGTGTAAAGCGATAGCCACCGTACTACTGTATAGTCACAAAAATTGTGAAACGTAAACAATCGCTCTAAAACTGCAATAGGTTTGAAACGTCAGATAGCTAATGACAAAATAGATAGATTCGAATATGATAAAACTAATAAATTTTATACTAAGACAATACTTCTTAAACATTATTATTCACTTACTCGCATACATTTTTGCTTTGATCATATCAGGAAGCGTATCCCATTTTGAATTATTTAAGTTCATTTTGTAAGCACCTTTGGATGTTGAATAAGGAATACCGCCAAATAAATATAAATCGTTTCCTCTACTTGTAATGCCTGTTGTAGCAGTAGCTGTTGGCATAGGATTACACTGCGTCCAATGTTCTTTTTGTAGATTATAACAGTCAACAATACTTGAAAAGTTTTTACCATCACTTCCGCCAAACTTCATAGAAACAAATAAATTGCATTAAATATATAAACATTTACAAATATTTTTTTTTGGTTTGGTCTGCTTGTAATGTCTATCAAAGCAGAAGCTGTTGCCTGTTTGTATCGGGTTAAACTGTGTCCACCGTTTGTCTTGTACTTCAAGCACTCTTTACTACTACATAGTACATTGATATCTCCAAGTCTTATTTAGGTTTTGAAGTTGTTTTTATTTCATAGCCTTATTGGGTTGTTGGCTAGTTTTGTTTGGGTAAATAGGATACTGGTACTATTGGGGACGATTTAAAACCTAAGGTTTAGTTTAATTTATTAATTAAGATTAATTTAGCCTAACATCAGATTTCATATGTCACCTAATTAAAACACTGCGTTACATGTTAACATAACATAAATCATGTATACAAAACAGTAAACCTATTAAAACTGTCACTTTCTAAAAACTTATATATTAAACTATTACTATTTATACCTGTATACAACAAATTAAATAAAATTTCATACTTACAACATATAAACCAGAGTTGTGAATTATAGAACTGCATGAATTCCGAGCGTTTGGCATTGGCTGTTTTATTTCGGCCCATTCCTTTGAATATATGTCATAATATTCTACTGAGTTCAATACTAATTCACCTAAAGTACCTTGACCTCCTACCTATGCGGAATAGAACGTAATGACACATATTAAGTATATATATTTCAAATGTATCACATGTATTGTTTAACTCAGATATATTGTTTTACGAATAACTGAAATTGATACACACCACGTAAATATACTTTCACAATGGCTCATCACATATACGTAGTAATGCTTTTTTTGAAACTAAAGGTAACCTTAAATAATTCAGTAAATTTGATAAATATTTCCTTCGTTCCTCTAAATCATATTTTATCCATTCAAAAATGAAATCAATGATCTATAACAAATTTTAACACCATAATTGTAAAATCATATACAATTAATAATCATTGTTAAGTACTATCATAGTAAGAAAATAGCTGTGGGTAATAAGATGAGACAAATGTATATTTAATAGAGTTATAAGAATTAAAAATAATGATCTCATTTATTTATATTTGTAGTTAACAATTAAAATAGTTGATTTTATAAGCTTTGTGTTTCTAAAACCCTTAACAATTTTCATCTACTTTCAGATTTTTCTGAAATTTTTGTTGCAAAAAAAAAATAATCTAATTAAATTGTAATTTTTTACCTTTTCTTCAGATTCGACCATCAAATGATCATTTGATATGATTTTAAAAATATCTTCAAAATTTAATTCATATAATTGTATTATTTGCGATTCCAGCATTGTACTACGAATAAAACATTTAGAATAAAATGATGTCAAAACTAACACCAATCTAAAACACATACTTGAAATTTTCTAAACAATACAAGAAACAATAATTGTACAGCCCTTTTAGTGATGTAGGTTCAGCAAATCTCATAATATTAAGACAATTACTGACATTTATGTTATTTTTAACATAATCGTAACACAAATCCTTAGCATAGTTAAATTGAAAGTAGTCAGAAGCTCTTACTAGTTTCTAAAATACAAAAAAATATTAAAATTATGACAATAAATGTGTTCAAAGAAAATAATTTGGTATCTATTTTGTATATTATATTACTTCAATATTATTATTATTGATATCCATCTGAAATGTATACGCACACGTTACAATTGACTTCAGAATACCAGACTCGATGTCTTTAATAGGCATACTAATTTCTTTGGTCTCTTTAAAGCCACCATCGAACATTTTTAATAGCATAGGGCTTGCGGATGCTAAAATTACTTTATGTGCTGAAATTTGAACGCCATCATCACATATCAACAGAACATCACATAAGGTTTGCTCTCTGTAAAAAATGTATCTTTATTATATATTTATTATTATGAGAACAGGCTTAAGACATAAAAATGTACTAAATTAATATATTAAAAATGTATTAAAAACTACAAATAATAAAGCAAAATTTGTGTACTCCATTGATGACTATGAGATATTGACAAGTTAATTTGTTTTAACCAATGTATATATTTTCTATAATTATTGGTTGATCATGTACATGAGGAACATCGAAACAGCTCTAAATTGTTCTAAATAATAAAAGTATACATAGATAAAAAAAATAGTGTTTCAACACATTCAGGGTGATTTTTTAGTATCAACGTTGTATACTAGAACTTTAAAAAAAAATCAGTACCTACCTAATACACAATAACAATTTTACAAAAATATTGTTATTACTCCTTAATTCTTTTAAAAAAAGTTTTTAAACACACTTAACAAAATAAAATAATTTTAGAAATTCGCTTATATTTATGTTATAAATCATAACTTACTTGAAGAACCCGTATAAGTTTCGAAAATGTTTATACATAATGCTCAAAGTTTTGATTGGTATGTTATGTGGCGAGTACTTTGGAAACATGTTGAACAATTGTGTTTGTCTACAAGTAAAACATATTTTGCTTTGTAATAAATTTTAAACTAAAGGCAATTGGACAGTGATATATTCTGTCTCTGTCCATAATATTCATACCAATTTAGACGTATTTTTGTTCTAACAGTACACGTTTCGATGATAAATCTACTGATGTGAAAAGGAATTTTTAAACAAATTTGAATTCTACATTATCTAAGAGACGGCCTACCCACTTTTTTCATTTGTTTATAATTTCTAAAATAAAATTCTTTGGGGATATTTTATTTTATAATTGAAAACTGGACACTTTTAAGTTTAAAATTATATAATATGATCATGTCGCCCCTAGAAAAGATTCCTTAGAAATTTAAATGTGTTTTCAGATTTCTCATCACATCAGCAGATCGATCAATACGCAGGAACACAAATACGCCTAAATGTCTATACTGACAAAGGAAATCCTCATCACAATCAAAAATAAAAACTATTTAACAAAATAATAACATATACCTACCGTAAAGTATAAACTAGTCACGATTACGGTTTAATAAAGAAAAAAACAAAATACCGAATAAACAGTAGTACTTAGTAGATTTATTTTTTTCAAGTTAGAAAATTCAAATTAGAATGAACGATGTTATCAATAAATACCTCATCCGTTAATGATAAGGCCAAAATGATTTTCGCGCCAACAATTCTGTTATCTATATAGTCCCGTTTGAATTGCGCGCGTTTTATGTTATTATTATCAAAATTCAAACTGAAATAGTGCTAAATTGCTATTTCTTATTAGTTTCAAATTGTTATTTCTATTTAATTAAAAATGTCTTTCGAGTCTGTAATAAAACGAATGAATGAATATTTTATATGTGAAATTGATTTGTTAAAGTCGGACTTAAACAAACAAAATATTATAACAAGAACAAATATAGTTGATATGGAAAATGCAACTGAATTGGTCAATTTTATTCTTAAACCTCTGGTCACGGTGATTTCGCTTTCAATCATGTGACGTCATGGTTTTTGTATACATGCCAAGTAAGCACAAGGTAATAGATAATCAAAAAAACCAGTACAGTGGGGTCGGGGCATAGCGGGGACGGGGAGGTAACAGGTTTACAGGAAATCTGAAAGTGATAAAATCACTTTCGAAAAAACGCTTCGACGCAAATCGGTAGTTAGTATTTTCAAGCCAGTACAGTCCAAACCAAGCACAGTAGAACCAGCAAAGTTAGAAAGTTTTAAATTGAGGTTCTGTATTTACAAATAAGCATCAAAGCGTTTATTTGAAAGTGATTTTATTCAATTTTATCACTTCTATTTATAATAATTCCTGTAGATCTGTGACCTCTGCGTCTACTCGCTGCTTTGATTCCATTATGCCTATACTCTACTGTACTAGTCCTCTCGGAGAAAATCGCTTTCAAATAAACGCTTTGATGCTTATTTGTAAATACAGAACCTCAATTCAAAACTTTCTAACTTTGCTGCTTTTACTGTGCTTGGTTTGGACTGTACTGGCTTGAAAATACTAACTACCGATTTGCGTCGAAGCGTTTTTTTCGAAAGTGACTTTATCGCAGTCGACGAAAAAGACATTATACAATTGTTTAAAACGAACTAGTATTATTATTTTCCACACAACAATGTATTATGTTACATCAATAAGAGCGGTTGCCTTGGAACACATTTTATTTACTATTTATATTTTTAGCAATGTTTCCATTTATACATATTAGACATACATGAGCATTTTTGAATTAACACAAGTCCAAAAATGGGCAAAACATTAGAATTACAAAATATACAACTAACCTAAAGTTTTGAGCTATAAAATATGTATTTTTAAATATACTAGAAAATATATACTATTTATTTTTTTTAACTTAATTTTCTTTTGATTTTCATTGTTATTCCGTGTAAAATTAACACAGTATATTTTTCTTAGTTCAAAATAGTCTAAAATGTTCAATATTTATTCAGAATTGTTTCAAACAAATAAATTATAGATTTTTGAAATTACTTCAAAACGAAGTCGTGTGTACGTATCATGTATTTTTACAAGTTTATATTATTAGGATATTATAGCGTTTCTTTTTGGTGTGTCTAGACCTACGATAATTTTTTCTCAATAAAAATAACCCTAAGAGTAAAAATAAAACACTGTACTGTAATACAATTAATGGTATACATTAAAGTTATGATACAAATAAAACTAAAATTGTGGTATTATGGGCAACAAAGTGCACGGGTCAGTGCTAGACGCTAGTCCTATATAATATAAGTTTCAAATAATGATACAATAATTTTAAAAAAATAGCAAAACCACATAGATATAAACATTAAAGAATACAAAACTTAAAATATTACATTAGTTACCTAATACAATTTGAGTACAGACCAATTTACAACACAAATCAATGAATATCTTTAAGCTTTCTTTTTATTCACAACACAAATCAAATATTGAATAATGAACGGACTAAAAATCTTATATTTATAATATAGAAGAAAACACTCAACTGCACTACTATTCTCCAGAATGGATACGATTGTGTAGCGTAATCCATAATAATATTATACTTTACCTTGCACATGAATTGACAGTATCATTCCGGTATTCGGTATTTTTATAATTATTATATTATATTTATGTGTACGTATTTATGTGTTCTATAAGTAAGTTGATAACTTGTATTTTGCAAGTATTGTTAACTAGACCGGTCAATACATATATATATATATACAGTCAATATATATATTTATAATGCAACTATAATTATTTATAGTTGTTTTTTTTTCTAATTTAGTTTAGTGTTTGATATAATATGAACAGGAGTTGTCAAAACTTACAGTTAAATGGCGGCATTAGAGTTCCAAAGCACGGATCTAGCATTGTAGAGCACGCCTAGCCGTATAATTAGGATAACTAGGATAATTAGGATGGCATTGGGGGTTAGCTCTGGCACATAACCGAAAAACTGTCACGAAAATAGCGTTACTCTGTTATCTGATAAGAGATATATGTTGTATTCACAACGTTCTAACTAGAACTAAATTATAAATTAAAAATAGTTTATGGAGCCAAATTCTCTATGAATTTTTTCAGGCCTGATTTTATGAAAACACTAATTTAGATATTTCTTTTTATTTAAACTGTCCATTAACATACGAGGAAAAAGTATTGGTAAGAATTTTGATTTATGATTATTGTATTAGTAATTAGTTAACTTAACAATTTAATCAAATTGTACGTATATATATGATATGCTTATTTGCTTCCATTTTTTATTAGGTGTTGAAAAACATTTGGGTTCCTTCTAATAATTATCATATCCCCCTCCCCCCCAAAGCAAAAACCTAAATACGCCACTGAATGATAGAGTTAAACTATGTCAAACAGAAAAATTATTACCGGATACTAATAAATCTTCTCGATACCGTACTTCTAAAAAATAAAATAAATCTGCAATCACACTTGTATATCGAGAAAAACACCAAAAAAATTAAAATAACACATTTATTTCAGTGATTTTATCTACCTTATAATAAAAGTACATCGCCAATGACCGTGTTTCCTCTACACACAATAAAACACGCATAACGATTTGCACTGTAAGCGACAAAAAAAAAGTCCTGACAACAATATAATGATGATTGCAACCAGTACATAATATTGTTCATCCATACGAAAATAAACATTTCAAGGAATACCGATTATTTAGAAAAGATGTCAAAAATGCTTCCAAACGTATTCCGCATATCGACGAGTTATAACGCTGTTCGACGTTGATAAAAAAGAAACATGCGTTTCATAATCCAAATGTGTTGCTTATTATGTCTACTAAAACCTTCTGTGTGGTCAAAGGTAATATTATAGTGGTTAATAACGAAACGGACGTTTAAACAATTATTGTTTTCTAACAGAATATCATGCCTACTTTCTTACAACCTATTCAACATAAAATTCGTTTTACCAATTTTGAAATGATCGTCAACCAGTCTATTGGAGAAGTAAAAGAAGCTGCTATCAAGCAGTATTATGATACACAGATATGGGATCTGGACTACTTAATCTATAAGAAAGTAGTGGCACACCGCGTACGTACCAACCACCTATTCTTATCGGAGTCCCTCATAAGTTTTTTCAAGTTTTTAATAATAATAACAATATTCGTATGGCGTATTTGACCGGAAGGGTTTCTCTATAGCTATCCGGGTGGTCACCCATCCGGGTTGAAGCAGCAACGGCCACAGCTTAACCTCAAGTGCCATGCGGCACCTGAGGTGTCCACTGCGCCACACCGCCCCGACAAGTTATTAATAAAATATGGGATATTATACCTAATATTACAATTTTTAACATATAATGAGTCATTACACTGACAGAACTTTTCTTTGCTCGTTGCCTCTGTGTTGGTTTTTTTCTGCAAATTGTTTCTTTTAAAAATTTGTATAATTAAAACTATTTTTTCTTTTCAGATGAATTTGGAGCTGAATAAATGTAAAGAGCATTTCATAGATTGCGTTAATATTAGAACATTTGATTATATTATTTTGTGTGACAACGAAAATACTGTTATGAAATTTATTAAAGCAGATTACATTAGCCGAGAAATGACCTGTGATATCCAAGTAATAAATTTAAGTATTTCTATGACTAAGAGCTTTCCGTGCGTGTCCATTCCTTATTTAGAAAGAGAAACACTATATTTTCCAGTCCACATAGATCTCATACATTTAATTCAATTACTAAAAATATCAACAAAAACATTTTTTTTTAAAATGCCACAAACCTAAATCTTTTATTACTGCTTAACAAATGTGGTTTAACAAAATTGAGATTTAAGAGACTGCAAAAAATATTTAACTTAATAAAATGTCAAATCATCTTACGAAGGCAAATATGCTGATGATTACTATATTTTCAAAAATATTTTATAAATTTGAATTGACAGATTGGTTGTGTGTTTCAATACTGTACCTTTATTTATCTTTAAAACAAGTCCTTATGTTTCGTTTTAAGTATCATACAATATGCTTTATGATTTCATCAATGTTGTATTTTTTGTTAATAGGGCGAATACCTTTTTAGAAATGTAACAATCAACATGGAGTTTGTATCTCAACTTTTTTTTTCGTTATCAGAAAAATGGTGGGAATTAACATTCAAATGGAGAATTTCATTTTATAGCAAACAAAATGCGTTAATTTTCAAGTTCATTGGCGATCATAAATATATCACTTATAGAAGGCGAAATCAAAATCCTAGAAGCACATGAAAAATCATAATTGGTTTAATTGTTCTAAATTTGATAAAACTAAGCTATGAATATAATAAATACATATATACTATTTTAAAAAAACAGTCTTGTGACATGCTTATAAAAATAGGTTGGATACGATTAGGGTTGTTTGTGGACCAAAAAACACGTATACATTGTGAGTGTCTACTATAATCAGTTACACGATTTAGTCGTCTGTGATACAGACGACTAAACCTAAACCTAACCTAACCTAACTGTGAGACAGTCCCAGGAACCTCAGGCACGGTAATGACAAAGGGTACGAAAACTGCCAAACCTAAGGTGGAAGACCATGGACCGCCGAAAAAAGTCAAACGCCAC